GGAGAAGGATGAGAAGGTGGACCATAACTAGAAGCTGGTGGTGAAGGGGGTGCACCATAGCTAGAAGACGGTGGACTCTTAGGAGGTCCATAACTTGAAGCGGGTGGCGCCGGAGGAGCTCCATAGCCAGATGCTGGGGGTGATGGAGGTGCGCCATAACTTGGTGATGGAGGTGCACTCTTTGGAGGACCATAACTAGATGCTGGAGGTGATGGCGGAGCTCCATAGCTGGATGCTGGGGGGGATGGAGGTGCGCCATAACTGGGTGAAGGTGCAGACGGAGGGGCACCGTAACTAGATGATGGTGGAGATGGAGGAGCTCCATAGCTTGAAGATGGCGGTGCTGGTTGTGACGGGGGAGCGCCGTAACTCGATGAAGGTGGAGAAGTTTTTGGAGGTCCATAAAATGCTACAGGGGATTGTGGGGCCAAGTAAGTTGAAGCGGGCACCTTAGCTGGACGTCGAGGTTTCTGTGGAGCTCCATAACTAGAGCTTGGTGGACTAGGTGGAGCGCCATAGCTGGGCGACGGTGGAGCTCCATAGCTAGGGGAGGGTTTGCTGGGTGGACCATATGAAGTAGATGGGCGCTGAGGTGGTGGTGGTGCTGGTCCCGGGGGTGCGCCATAACTTGAACTTGGAGGACCTTGTGCACTGGCGTATGCGCCCCCGGTGGGCGCACTTGGAGTATAACTACTTTGTGGTTGGGAGCTATATGACGTAGCTGGTCCCGACGCTGGCGGCAAATAAGAGCTCACTGGAGGCTCTGCATTGACAAAAGAGAGTGCAACACATATCAGCTGCAAATAGAAAAGAGGAAATTTATTGTTTATCATTGAAAGCGATAATTAAAACTAGTATAATAAATATATACATATATCTATGTAATATGTAGTGATAAACGTACCGTTGCAGCTTTCGCTGTGGAATGAAAAACCTTCATATTGGCAGCGGATAATGAGGAAAAGGCTGAAAATCTCACGTTCTATAATCTGCAAATAAAACAAGAGAGGTTAGTTCTCATTCTGAAATTTTTGGAAAAATATAGGTGTTTAAAAGAATTAGTAATTATAATTTGTAGATGACATAAGTGAGAGTGTTGTCCAGTAAAATCTCTCGCTGCTATAATACTGTAATTATGTATTAGTTGTACATATATACTAATGTGCACATTTACATTGGAGACCATGGTTAGTGTTTTTTGGAGTGCATTTTCCATTATCTATAAAACCGTGTCGAATTTTATGTAAAAAAACGAAGACTGTAACGAACTACAGCTTCGTGCATGACTTGTTGCGTATCTGAATTCAAAGTTTGCATAGATACAAACTTATATGTACGTACATTTATTTGTATATAGATATGTATGTAGCAAACTTCCCCGTTATATATTTATTTCTCAAATCTAAAGAAACTAAAAAATGTCTAAAGTATTTTGGAAATAAATATAGTTTATGTGTATTATTTGAACCCGTTTTTGGTATATGTACAAATAAATGCGACATAAAAAGAATTGCTAGAACACGTGATTTTGAGGTATTAAAGCTCGCAGCGATCTATAAGATTTCTAGATTATTTAATGATCAAATAATTGGAATTGGTTCAATGTCTCAACGGTCAGTAATCATCATCAATTCTATATTAGCACCAAATATAAGTTTTTTTAAGTGGCAACACCTTATACAACCCGAGTAATTTTTTTATATAAATGTTTACCTGTATATTCGTATATATGTATAGGCATGAAGTAATACAAATTCGCACTACTTCTTCTGTAGCGAAGTTCAAAGAAAATATTGCAATTACAGACGAAGGAAGAATAAACCGAAACAAAGCAACTTCAAATGGCAGCATTACGCAAATGAACGGTTTCGAGTCCACTGCGAATGCTGCGTTGGCCGTCATACGCACGGGCGCCAAATGCGAACGCGATTTCGCAAACAATGAGCGCGTGCTCAGTCACAAGCGCATGCGCAATGAATGCAATTACAAACTTCAATTGCAAAGTTGTGTATGTACGCATGTGTATGTAGTCGGCGGAATTCATTTACATGTGAATCTATATAGCTACATTTTGCGAATTTGGGATGGCACGATGGCGACGTTGATGCTTGAAAAATCAATTTGAAATCAATATGGAATTCTTTTGCGTTACGAAATCACCAACAGAATCGAAATAAAAAAAAAAAAACAAGAAAAAAAACTGTTAACTTCGGCTGCACCAAAGCTATAACACCCTTCACAGTTGCATTTCTTATAGCATAAAAGGGTACAAAAGATCTTCACCTTGACGGTCAGTTTGTATGACAGCTAAATGATATGGTGATCCAATTTAAATAATCTATTAGAGGCTTGCAGCCTTTACGTGTATAATAATATGTGCCAAATTTCGTAAAGATACCTTGGCAACTAAAAAAGTTTTCCGTACAAGCATATTATTCCGATCGTTCAGTTTGTATAACAGCTATAGGCTACAGTGGTCCGATAATGGCCGTTCCAACCAATGTGCAGCTTCTTGGGGAGCAAAGAACGTGCGAATCATTCAGATCGATATCACATAAAGTGAGGAATTATGTAGGTCGTGTAGATCATATACAGACAGATAGACTGACATTTTTAAATCGACTCAGCTCGTCATGCTGATCATCAGTTATATATATGTATATATATTTTATAGGGTCTCCGACGTTTGCGTTTGGATGTTTAGGGTATAATTTTTTAAATACGTACGCATATACAAACGCGTTATATTGTAGATAAAGTGCCACTATAATAGAATCCTAGTATTAACATGCAAAGCTCGTAATATTGATTTATTATATTTCCCGAAAATTTGGGATAAGCGCGACTTAAGCCGCGCGCCAACTTCAATTTGCCGAACGAGTATGGCTTTAAGGGCATTTACATGCAAAATGCAATATTAATTTTCAAAGCCGTGCTGCACATGTGCACATTGTTATGCAAACTGTACGAAAAGTTGAAAAATTAATTCCGCCTCCCACCACCCCCCACAGTTATCGTCATGGTGACATTACAACGGATATTCACAGCTTTTTCAGCCAACTTATGCCTCTAAATGCGTCTTGCTGCCAGCGGCTGCATCAAATGCTGGTTGTGTTAATGTGGGCAAATCCATCAGTTCAAATATTCTGTTAGCGCGCAAACGCTTCATTAGCCTCACACCCCCCTGCTTAGCCACACTATCTGCCACATGCACATTGAGGCATCGTAAACTTTGACTATCAGTGAAAAAAAAATATGCAAAGCAGGGCTTTAAGTGGCACAGATACTCATATCGCACGCCACATAACAGGAGGTCACATGGCCGGGCGGTGGGGGCAACAGCAATAGTGTGGTTGGCGGTTGACAAAGTTCGTTGAATGCAATTTAGCGGCGCTCACTTGCTTCTTCATTGTGTTGCAATGTATTTTCTATTTTTCTTTCCTTGTTCATATGTCTTGTTGGCGTTTGCCTTTTCAGGCCTTAAATAACCAAAAATAACAGTAAAATAAAAATGAGTTATGAGAGAAAAAAAGACTCGGAAAAAGCAGTTAAAATTTAAGTGTTTGTTCCTTGTGCTGGCATCAAATGTTGCTGCGGCTGTCTCTTTTTCAATTTTCGTTGTCAACAACTGCGGTTGCAAATGCATTTTGTTGTGTCTAACTTTCGTTTTTATGTGTTTGCTTTCGTTTTACGCTTTTTCGTTGTTGTCATTTTCATTTGCAAACGAAATTCCAATATTTTCAGTTTTCAATGTTATTCTTTAGACTCATTTAATGCTGTCGCTGCTGTCATTGCCGTCACCTCACCACTGATGCATGCAACACAACCGTTAGTCAACCACGTTCGGTTGCATAACTTGGCGCTTATTTAATGCTGTCATTGCATTACGAGTCCCTTTATTAATGTTTTAATTTTTATGAGCAAACTTTCTAATAAGATAACTTACATATGTACGGATGAGTGTCTGAAAACATGAGTTTGTGTGTGTATACATAACGTTCGCTGTAAATTAGCGTTTATTTGTACCTACTGTAATGTTAAATACTATTTTAAGAGATAAAATTAATTAATTTTTTAAGGCTCAATTTGGATATTTTGAATGTTAACTACCGCTTAAAATATAAATGTAAAATTAAGATAATTCAATAATTAAATTCAAATAATATATTAATATGATATATATTCTTCACGGCCAATGAAAAAAAATAAATAATTATATTATATTATTTTTTTCGCTATACCAATTTTATTTCATTATATATATCAAATTAGTTTTTCAACACGTAATTAAAAAGAAGTTGAAGCAAGATTTTATTTTCTTTAATATTATGTATGTGTATATAGACATGTTTTAAATAAAATCTTAGATTTATTGGCGTATATCCTCACCTAAAATGTAATATAACATAACATCACTTTTCATAAGTTTACAGGAGAAAGAAAAAACGATTTAAAATATTGTAGAAACTACTTATATTGAAAAAAAAATTTCATTTTGGTTATAAAATGTTATATCTGATAGAGAGGCTTAAAACTTTGTGCATACTCGTACATGTAATATGATGCAATGAAGCTTAAAAAATAAAAAACTCAATTTAATTTTTTCAAATGCTATTTTGTTTTGCATTTTAGATGACAATATGTATGTATGTATGTGTACCGCAAAAATATATTTTCTAAATGTCTATAGTCCCGAAGTATATTTTACAGAATCCAGAAAGCAAAATATTACAAAAGAGGAGGATAGTTTTTAATAGAAACTTAAAAGAGTGGAGAACCGAATTGATTTTGAACCAGAAAGCACTTTGCTATTGTATTACTTTATTAACATAATAATATGATCAAAATTGTCAAAAAGTTTTTGATCTGAACTGGATGACTTTATAGAGACGATACGCCAAACTTTGCTGATTTTTCCCATTTTCTTCTCGTTAAGTAAGAAATGCCCCACTTTTTCCTAATTCTTTTTTTGTTTTATTTACTCATACAGGACTGTAATATGTGTATAAGTATAAGAAATAAGTATAATATAGTACAGTTGAATTGAACCAAAACTGCAACTAGCAACCAAAAAAAAAAAACAAAATGTAAAGAAATATGAGAAATCAAATTCCTATATTCAATGTGTCTTGGTTATTTTGGTTTTATCAATGATATTATGAATATAATTGAATTTGAAATCGTGCGAACTCACAATCAATTAAACACATTTCTTTCAATTTGCAATGTATTTTGTATAACTATTTTTTACAAAATTTGTAAGTGCATCTTTTGACCAACCATGTTTAAACTTCAAACAATTGGATTCAAAATGCAAAAATTCAAAAAAACAAACATCACAGCTTATTTTTATTTGAATAGGAAACCTATCATTTGAAAATCTGGAAACTAATAGTTGGACACCAAACTTATTTTTATATTTTATAATAAGTGCGATTGAAAATCATTTAATTTTAATTAAATTTAATATAATTATATACATGCACTAGAATATGAACTCCTTGAGTAAAGCTTTTTTATAAAAACAAATACTCCGAAGTCGCTCGAACTTTTCGCGTAATGAGTTATAAGAACATATGAAATTGAACATATGAATATTAAAAATATTATTCAAAATTATTTATATTTTTGAGTTCAGTTTTAGAATTTTTTGTTTTAAAGAAACACTTAATATTTTTGTCCTTGCAAGAACATCTCTGAAAACAAAAAATTTCTTATGTTTCTTATTTGCAGTGTTATTGACACATTATTTATCAATTTTAATTTCACTTGTTTTCACTTTATAATTTTTAGCAGTATCCTTTTTCGAATATCCTTAATTTGTATATGTTTTTATTAATAAAACTTTTGTTTTGTGCACAAACCAGCAATTCCGTTTCCGTTAATGCTTATATTTATGTTTTTGACCAAATATGAAGAACTTTCCGCCTCGTTTGCTTATCACCACAAGTTGTAGCCGATTCCGATAGTTGAATGTAAACTGCGACTTTCAACGAGCGCATCTTGCATTTTTATACCGAAAAATAGTGTTTGCATTTTCTCAAGCTACGCTTTGATACACTTCTCAGTGCCACTTTGGTGCCGTAAGTATGTATGGCAATTGAGCGACGACCACTTCATACTACGCCTTGTATAATATTGTGAGTGTGTCGGTGTTTTCAAATATTTTTCAACTTCATTTTACATCCAAGTGTACTTACATACATCTTCAATTCATTTTTCAAACAAAATCTCAATTCCACAAAATCTATTACAATTTTATATAATTTTGTTGTATATGCTTCGATGCTGCAGTTTTGCCGGTGGCTATGTTTTGCTTTGATGATAGATGTGCCTACTCTTCAAATAAAAGTACAACTTATGTTGAAGTATAGCGATAACAAAATGTTCGTCGCGCATGCGCATCACACTCAGTGGCACTCAGAAAGCGCTGGCGCTCAACCAAAACGTCTCACTCTCAAATATTTTCGTTTTCTGTGTGCTTTGCATCTACGGTTGCTTGTTCAAGAATCGTTTGTTTTCGCTTTTAATTTCTTCTGCGTTTTGGTGCTCTTTACCTTCGCTTATTAATCAGCTTAAAACTGTGCGCAAGCGCAAATTGTTTTGAGAAATTTTACTTGTGCGCTGCAGTTGCTCAGTTGTTTATTTTCCGAGTTGTTGGCGTCTAGTCAAATGCGAAATTATTTTGATTTGGCATATTTTCTCATAGCTTTCGTAAATCATAGCAGCGGATACGGATATTAACTGTGCATTTTTTACCGATATTTGTCTCAAACTTAAACGAATACCTCGTTATTTTATACACGCTAACATTTTCAAATACTCTGTGCTGCAACGTCTTTGAGAGTTTTGTAATAATTAGTAAATTAGTTTACGTCAGACTATTAGTTGTGGCCTATTAGCTGCTGCTCGGGACTTCAATTAAAGTAAGGCATAGTGAATGTGTAGTTATTCGATTGAACAGTAGTTGGTGTGGTGTGAAAACACTAATGTGTATAATATTTAAAAAGCAAATAAGTTGAACAGTGAGCATAGCAAATGAATGGAAAATATATATACTAAAACGTATTTGAAGATTCCAGAGCAATTTTCTGAATGAGCAATATTTTCAAAGCCTACGGATGGCTTTGAATTTTACTGATAGAAATACAAGTATATGTTACGTACTATGAAATGAAGCTGAAGAAATTTATACCTTTATAATATTTGAGATACAATTAGTATAATGAATTGGTGACAGGTCGAGACTATAAGGCGGATAAGAATATTTCAATTAAGCTCCCGAAGATTCTGACGTGTCACTTCGATGTTTGTGCGCTGGCGATGTTCTAATGGAACACAGTTCATCCGGGCGATTTCTTCCTTCAGATGTTCAAATTATAGACAGCACAGGTTCGAAAATAGAGTTTGGCTGTAGGGGAATACATGCTTGCCTGCCAATTTCACCAAACACACATAGCAAAACATTCCTGCCAGTCAATTTTGACTTGGCCTCTGTTTTTCGCTAACTCACCACGATTCGACCAAGATCGTTTTCGCTTGACGTTGTCGTAAATGATTCACTTTTATTAACCAGTAACCATCTACTTCAGAATTGGATCCATTTTGTTGCGATTCACCGACGATTCGCAGATAGAAATATGGTCTATAAAGTCTTTATGAGTTAACAGGCGTGTCATCTATACATCAAGCTTCTTTATGTATGCATCCTCATTTAAAAGGTTCCAAATTTCTTTTGGTGCAAAGCTTAGCAGCCTCCTTTGAAATTTCTTTGAAAATTCATATTTTTTCATTTTCTTTATTATCGCCATTGATTATCGTGTTACTATTGAGGCTTATTCCCGTGATCTCCGTCATGGTCTACTAGGACCCTTTTCGATCACTCCTTTGAGATACCAAAAAACACCTTAAGATGGACAAATCTGTCTTAAGTCTGTTGGGGTGACCAAATTCTCTTCTTTCAAATATTATACTTAAAAATTAAACGGTGATAAAATGTTTGGCAGCTTTTTCTCTATTTAGTGAGTTGCGGCTGTCAGTTCTTGTATGTAATTATAGGAGTTAAAATCCATTTACCGCTATATATACCAATCTATCGATCAGAATAATAACAATGTTAAGTTTATAAATGCATGTCCTGAATTCATTCGTTCAGTAGATTCGACATAAAGCTTTTCCGTAAATTTGTAATTTTTAGACTATCAAGAGGTAGGTACATATGTAATTATGTACTTCTATTACAACTACTACCATATACTCGTACAACTCTGCTATTACACAAATGCGCAAGGTTCAATTAGTATTTAGCTACAGGTTTTTCGAAAAAGTTTCAAACGGTATTAAATAACAATTCGAAATTAAATACTTACGCAGAAATTAGTTTGTTGAGAGAAACATGACAAGTTTAACAAGGCGTCGCCAAATAATATGGAAATAGCCAGAAAATATGGATTTTTTTAATTGCTTTGACGTCACTCAATCGCTCTCACGAGTGACGGTAGTTAATGATCAACGGAACTAAATGATAGCGTAATCAAAAATGCAATGTGAAACCAAATACGAGCATTTTGTGTTTGTGTTTGCTGCAATGGGCGGGAAATTATTGGTCATCGATGACCCTTGCCTTGGATATGAAATTATTTTTCAAACATAAATACATATATATATATATAAATATGGATTTGAGATGATTAGTTTTTTTTTTCTCCTCATCAACCTTTTAACCACGCTTTCGACAACCAATCAATACTTCAACAACTTTCAGACCTTTCGCTTTAAACAATTGTATAACATAAAATGAAGTATTCAACTTGAACACAGTAAGTATAAGTAGTATGATGCCGGCATTCGTCTATGTACGTACGTTGGTGTTGATAATTTTCAAAAAAAATATTGATTTTTATGATAAAGATGTAAAGATCCGAGCAAACAATGGAAGACACATTAGCAATACTTCCACAAATGCACTTAAACTTAATTGTTTTAGCATAAGGATCCAACGACAAGTATAATCTTAACAAGATGTTGAAAGCACACTTAATTCTCACATAAAATGTATTCCTGTCCACATGCGAAACAAAAAATTGTTTTTACAACTGCAACCTCTCACACAACCGGGTTTTTTCTCCCATAAGTTTATTTCATATTCATTTATGCCAAAGTTGGTGGATCTTCAAGTGGCTTCCATTGATAGCTAGCCCATGGAATGCATTCTTTCAGCAAGTGCATGTAAGCCATACCCTTAGGACAGTCCTTCTCCACAGCAGGTTCACCAAAGGTTTCGCAATACCAATACTTGGCCGGATCGAAGTGATGTTGATAGGTCTGACCGATTTCTACACGATCACGGCAAGCAGATTGGCCGGCGTCAGCAGAAACGCTGACCACAAGAGCTGCGGTGAGCGCAAAACAGAGAGCTGAACGGAAACATAAGGAAAAAGCACCGTTAGTTTTTAATAATTCCACTCTGATTTAAAACCTAAAATGTTTTATAATAATGGATTAAATGTTAATTATATTTACCGAATTTCATTTTCAAATTTTATTTTTGTTTCTCTTAAGATACAATAGTACTTGACATGGTGTGCGCTTGGGCTTTTATATAAGTGAAAATGCTTTTTTATTGAAAATAAAATGAAATGATAATAAAAAGTATGCCATTTTAAAACACTAGTCGGCACTAGATCTCCATTTGTTGAACATTAAAAGTCTTGTAAATTGATATCAGTGCTTGCGCGTGCAATCTGATTATTAGTCATATACGCGCAAATTATTGTAGGTTGCAAGATGACTGCATGCAATATAGGGTTGGCGAATTTAGTAAAGGTCAGTTGAAGCAAATATTTTTCTATTTTTATAAGATGCCCAGGAAACAGATGCATACTTGTATTCATATGACTTTTGTTATGCACTAACGAAAGTAAGTTAAATAAATTCTCTCATTAATATTTGCCTACTTCCTCGCGATCTACATAACCATACCGTTCACAAGATAATTTGCATAAATAATGTTATGTGTTGCGATACTATAAGTTTTGATTTAACATTTTTCTGCTACTTTTTCGCATCAACACGGCACCTCAAGTAGCCCGAAAACGCTAGCCACTTGACCAAGATACTAGCATTGCATGCTGATGGCCGCTGGTAAAGCAAACAATTAAACAAGCGTGAGAGGTTCGAGCAACGCCGGCAGCAAGCAATAGATGGGCTAATATTTAGTAAAAACTGTTACAAAATATTTTTTAACAATTAAGTACAGCAAAGCATTACGAATAACTCCAACGCCTTTCAACGAAGTAACGCCACACAAGTTGCAGTTAATTGCATGGAATTATTGGGCGAAGCTTTGGTGGTGTAAAGGTACCAACCAACCAACCGCCAACGCTTCCATGGTCCATTAATGTTGAGAGCGAAAGTGAATGAACATAGCAACTGATCGCGCCTACATACATACATATATACATGGATATGTCATTACACAGTTAAAAGCATAAAGCATTTGTTATTACCAAACGTAGCCAATCTGTTGCCAATGATGATGACATTTGCAAAATTTTAGCTTTGTATAGATTTTTTTTATGCCTGCGAAGTAAAACCTGAGGAAGAAGTAAACTTGAGTAAGTGTAACAAATTGATCAGTACATTTTTGAGCTAAATAGGTACATAATGACACATCAATGGAATATTTTGGAATTGAAGCCTCATAATTTTTTTAGTAGTTTGGATCGAGTAGAGACTGTGTGAACCAATTACTCTAATTTACTAGTAGATCTGGGCACGCGTTAGCTATGGTATATGTACATTAACTAATATTGTAATAAACTATTTAATACAACGAAAATATTATTCACGAATAGAGACAAAACGTTATTGCCGATATAAGAATCCAAGGGATTGTACTTGTAGCATGAGTCAATTATATAAGGTTATTTCGATAGCTCAAGAATAACAATTTGTCTAAAGTGTTTTAATTCATAATATCAGTTTTGCTTTGTATTGTTGCGTTTTTAAATTTTCAAAGAGTTCAACCAATGAAAATGAGATTTTTAGTGAACACCGAATAAGAATGGATTGTAAAACACGCAAAGTCTAATTCTCGAGAAAAACAAAAACTGGTTTTTTGACATTATGAAGCACGCTCCGTAGCAACACAACCTTATATAATTGAATCATGCACTTGTAGTTTGATTTTGAAAATGTTAAATTCAAATCATGCTTATGTTTAAAAATATATTTTATTTACTTATGAATTTTATTTACTTAAGATTTGTATTAAAATATGTGAAAACGGTGTTTTTTTGTCAAGCCGGATCAAATTTTATCAGATGGTATAGTTATATATATATAAATTAAGATCTCTCTCTTAAGATCTTAAACCGTGGAGTGTATATTATATAGCTTTTTAAATCGAGAATTCGAAGCTAATTATTACATTTCTTTTTCTTATTCGGATTATGCAAATGGAAGAGATGACGAGAAAATAAGAGAACGGTTTTGACCTGCATTGCCGTGGATTATTCGAATTGCCATTTTTGGGAGCAAAGTTTTTGCTTCAGAAGTATTACCAACGATGACTTACGACTCAAGAAAGTGTATTACCAGTAATTTTGTGCATTTTCTCATATGAAGCCCGCAAACACACGAATTGAATAAAAAATGCATATATCATGCGAATTTAAACGAATCGGGCGCAGTTTTTGATAGCCATTGTTAAGTGCTTTCTCTTGTTTATCACAGTAATTGCAGCTATTCAGGGTAGCAGATAAGTAGCTATTTTATGTTGATTAGAAGTGAGGAATCATATAAATAGAAACCCGAATCATGGAAAATATCAAAACCATTTAAGTTTGAACTTTGGAAACAATTACCAAATCGCACCAAAAATGTATAAAGGTGAGAATATTCCGATGCAATTATAGGAAATGAAATTAATCATTGTATTTTTTAGTATCAATTGCTGTTCTCCTTTTGGCTGCTGCTGTCAGTGCTGTGCACATTCAACAGCGTTATCATGGCCAAGACATCTACGCCGAACCCGAATGCTCCATTGTAACCGACCACTCACGCATGTTTCGTGATATATCTGATCCCACACACTATTGGATCTGCCCTGAAGGTCAGGAGAAGGCCGATTACATACAGTGTCCGGATAATTACGCATTCATGGAGAAGGAGCAGAAATGCGTTGTATGGGAGGAATGGAAGTGGGTTGAACCATACACTAAATAAATTTTATAATGATTCTTCATTGATCCGCTTGAATAAAATTTTTTAAACATTAAATTTCTAAATCTAAATTTGTTTGTCAAACTAATCAATTGAAGATTATAGCAGAAGCTAAACTTTTAATGAACTAAAATCCAATTTATGAGTAATATGTTTCTAAAGTAGCAGTTGCTTTGGCATATTGAAACCATCTATTGTTTTGCTTATTTATGGTCTCTCAAAAGGTTTTGATTAATTGACTTATAATAATATTTAAATGTTGTTATTTTGACCATTTATTTATGTATATTTTATTGGTAATTACTACTCAAGCTCAATAATCACTATGTAGACGTATGTATTAGAATTTATGGACAGCAATTATCGGCGACATTCTCCACTACGCTGTGTATTGAAACACTATAAATATCAAACCGATTTTCCCTCTAAATTATATAAATTAATTATGTTTTATTTTTGCTTTTTCATTGTGTCTCTCTTTTCTAACAACCAACAACAATTAAAGCGTCAGACAGTTTTCTCTGCCGTTGTTTGGTAAGTTAAACATGGTATTGACCTATATATAATATTTTTCGGTTAGACAAAACTCAACAATTATTATTACAATTACAATTACATTTTCCTTTGATTAAACACAAAGCAAACACACCAAGATTTGAAAAAAATATAAATTCCATAAGCTGGACAGCAGACAATAAATCGAAAAGAAAAGAAATAATAAAAAACATTACCATTTCCAATTTATTATTTCTCTGCAAGCAATCGGTTAGGAAATGTGTGTGGTTAAAAATGCATGTATCGGTCTGCTGATGACCATAGATACTTAAGCGTGTAAATCTGTGTGTGCAATCGAGTCAGTGGTCCAATAAATTGCAAGCAGGCCGAAATACGAATGATGAAAATTGGGCGAAATAAAGCAAGGTAAAGGCTGACTGATGCGCGTACTTTATAAGCGAGCACACAAATCCATGTGCATATGTATGTGTGTGTGCCCATTACAAGTGGCTGTCTGTAGTAGTTGTGTAGTGTGCACGCTTATGCATTCACATTTCTTCACCCACACAAATACTTACAAGTGTTGACTTAAAAAGTTTTCGAAAATTACATATAAATGCGCAATTTCTTAATATGTGATGTTGTTGGCCGATTGCTTTAAGTACGGGTATATACACTTGTGTATATACATATTTCATATACGCGTTAGAGCATTTAATAAATTTGTAATTATATGTAAGTAATCCATAACACGAACTTAAAATAGTTTTTCGTAAATTTATTTTTTCATAGATACATACATATGTGTATTGTATAACTTGGTTGAACTCAATGGAACTTGCCTGCCCCGAAAACCACTACACCAGTGCAAATGTACCTCATACATTTTTAACCAAACTATATTATTCCACTAACTTGTAAGTATTTAAAAATGTTTTTTAATGCTAATAATCTAGAAATACTAAAAATAGTGTGTATATATATGAACTAAAATAGAAAAATAGAATACTCGTAATAGCAATACTATACAACAACACACTTACACTTCCTGCAGAACAATATTTTTATTGTAGCATATCCTTGTACGTACTAATGAACGTTGCTGGTACAATTAGTATTGACAAGAATCAATTTGTTCCAACTGTTTGACATACATATTCAATAGGTCAATTGATATTTCTAATAATAGAGATGAGAAAACTGAAGAGTGCGGACACATCTTGATTTTAAAAACGAATATTGCAGAGTTAATTGGATTTCATTTCTGAGGGTTCATTTTTTTACTCTAAAATTTGTGAATTACCAAAATTACAAAAAGTTTATATTCGGGTAGAATTCTACATCAATTGTAAGTAACTTAAAAATTATTTTCAGGCAGATTAATTCCGAATTGGATAGAATAAGCAGACATCCCTTATCCTTAATAATATTATAAATGTATACATATTCTTACTGGTATTAGAAAGGAACCTAATAAAGTTTTATACCGATACATTCATTGGTGCATAATAAGTATACTGGAAAGTGAAAGAATCAGATGAAATTTAGAACTGTGTTATATAGAAAGTAGGAGTGATTGTGGCGAAACGGACGCCCATTTCCACAATGCTGCGTAAGGATGTCAGAAAAATGTCACCTACTTAATTTGGTTAAAATCGGTTGAGCGGATCCCGAGATATAGGTGTCCACCTACATGTGGACGGTGCCACTACCATCGTCTAAGTTTGACGTTTCCTTCTGGGTGTTACAAACTTCGTGGCAAACTTAATATACCCTGTTCAGGGTATAAAAAAATTGGCAAATATAATTGTTAAATACAATGTATTTAGTTATTAAAGTTAGAATATAATCATTTCTGTCTCAGAAAATCTTTACATGAAGATATTCATGAGAAACAAAAGAATGGTTTCTTGTAAGAAATATTTACATATTTCTAACCCTTGTCATGCTGTAGAAGAGTTAAAAAACCTTTGAGGCATCTGCATCTGTTGGCTTGCTGTATCTCAGTAACTATCACTAACTTTGTAGAATTTTTATTTTCAACACACGTGTGAATCTATATTTATTTGCACATACATATGCATATGCGACATGAGCAATATGTAAATTACCTCTTTGAATATTTAAACATATGAACATACCTGTAGGTATATAAATTTCAGTTCAATTACAGATGTACAACTTATATACTATATACTGAACATTATAATATTAATATCTACATTTATTAGTGATTTACTTCGTGTGTAATATATTTATTATATTTTTAATCGATAATTGTGAATATGCGATATTTTCCGTGTCTTAACGATTAGCATAATGATTATGGTTGGATTTCTTTACAAATCTCTCTGTTAACTCTTTATTCAATATTTTGATTTTTGTATGCCATATTATTTATTTTTTGCGCCATTTATAACTAATGATTCCAAATTAGCCTGAACCGTTTTTCCCAAGTTTCACGCTATAGTTCCTAACTATATATTTTTTATATGAAACCATCAATGAAATTCGTATATTTTTTGAAATATTTTTTAAAAGATCGACAAATTTATCTCGATTATATATCGATGTTACATACAATAAATAACGATTGAGGAACACCCTAATACACATACACATGCAGAGTTTGACTGTTAAGCACGTTTATTAGGTTGATTGCTTTAGGGCTTGGTTCAATCAAAGTGCACTTTAGTTATAAATATAATATGTATTATTTACATTTGTATAAGACATATGAAAACATAAATATTACTTATTATTTGAAAATATTACAAGAGTACATATGTAAGTACTTAGGTACTTAACACGTCCATTAATAGCACAAATGTAGTTTTGATATTAATTGTTTCTATTGCTTTTTACACATTTATGATAATATCATACAAAATTACGAAAAATCATAATTTAATAATATAAGTACCATATATGTATACAGTATATTACAATAAGTATTGGTATTGAATGTGGAGCAATGAAATGAAGCGCAGCCGCTTAATTTAGTTAAATAATAATTCCTCTACGAGCCAACATAATAAATATATTCGTCATTTACAAATTGACTAAATCGGGGGGATGTGGAAATGCCTAATACTTTAATTTAATTAGTAGAGTATATTTTATTGATAAATTCTCAAGTTAGAATGTTTTATAAACTATATACTTTTATATTTTATTTTACATAATTTATGTAAAACTTAGCCTTATAAATTTGAAGTTAGCATTATTTAGTTATAAATTGGTTAGCATTGTACTTAACATTGAAATATTTACGCATATTTTCGCATTTTCAACATTCACAACTGGCGTTGCAAAAATAAAAAAAATCATTCATATTAAACACATTAACGTCTATTAAAAATGTTGCATAAATACGTACAAACAAATCTTGAAAGCTCTGCTTATGCGTTTAGATTGGGATCGTGAAGTAGAGAAGCTTCAGAGCATTGAATGTCACACAACCCATTGACAATTGATTTTTAATCGCTTTACACAACAACAAAAACAACAATGGTATTTGTACAACGTATAAATTTACCATAGAGCACCAGCTGGTTATTGCTATTGAGTTTGTATGTCAATGATGATTCATGGCTGCCAATGAATGTAAGTAACTTTTCGAAAGTTTGCATCTCCATTTATGTAAACGAAAAATTTATACACACATACATATATATATTTTAGGATTTACAATACAAAAAAAAGTATTTTATATGCGGATGATTTTCCTTGAAAATATTGCATGTGCATGTTGGTTGGAAGAAATAATTTGTATTAACGCTTAAAAAATGTTTGTTAGCAAATATTAATTTTTCTTCTTTGGAAGTCTTTTCATATTGATTAATGGTAATATTAAAAAATAATAAAAAATAAATGATATTTAACAATAAGAAGTATAGCATGAAAAAACGTTAACTTCGGTTGCACCGACGCTATACATAATCTTTCACAAATTCAAACATTTCTTACAAGAACTTGATTCCGATCGTATATGACAGCTATATGATATAGTGATCTCATCTGAACAATTTCTTCGGAGAATACATTGTTGCTCTAAACAATAGCTCATGCCTAATTTCGTGAAGATACCTCATGAAATGAAATAGTGTTCCATGCAAGCACTTTACTCCGATTGGTTAGTTAATATGGCAGCTATATGCTATGGAGATCCGATCTAAACAATTTCTTCGAAGACTACATTGTTGCATTAGGAAATAACTCATGTCAAATTTCGTGAAGATATTCCGTCAAATAAAAAAGTTTCCCATACAAACACTTGATTCTTATTGTTCAGTTTGTATGGCAGCTATATGCGGTCGTATAAATACAGACAGACAGACGGATAGACTGACGGACATGGCTAAATCAACTCAGCTCATCATGCTAATCATTTATATACACTATATATTTTATAGGGTCTCCGACGTTTCCTTCTGGGTGTTACAAACTTCGTGGCAAACTTAATATACTCTGTTCAGGCTATAATAATAATAATAAACACGTAAGGAAGAGCTAAGTTCGGAAAATACCTTCATTCATTATTCGATGAAATTGTAAATGGATCACAATC